TATATGGATTGTCCATGGAAACACTGGCACAAATCAGTTAGCATTAGAATTTTAAAAAAAAAAAGTACAGAAGCAATACAGACAGATGAGGTATGCATCAATAGCCAACAATTAACTATATACATTAAAATAACGAGTACACACAGAACACAGTACAGTTTATCGCTGTCCGCATTATTTAAATTCAATATGGGAAAACACTGAACATATGTTTACATTTAAATATTAAATTACTTGGGGAGCTGGAAGAGACCTGGTCACCAGTGTCTGCTTTACTGCAGGTAATGACTGGGGAGCTGGAAGAGACGAGGGCAGTAGTGTCTGCTTTACTGCAGGTAGTGACTGGGGAGCTGGAAGAGACCAGGTCACCAGTGTCTGCTTTACTGCAGGTAATGACTCGGGAGCTGGAAGAGACCAGGTCACCAGTGTCTGCTTTACTGCAGGTAACGACTGGGGAGCTGGAAGAGATCTGGTCACCAGTGTCTGCTTTACTGCAGGTAACGACTGGGGAGCTGGAAGAGATCTGGTCACCAGTGTTTGCTTTACTGCAGGTAACGACTGGGGAGCTGAAAGAGACCAGGTCACCAGTGTCTGCTTTACTGCAGGTAATGACTGGGGAGCTGAAAGAGATCTGGTCACCAGTGTCTGCTTTACTGCAGGTAATGACTGGAGAGCTGCAAGAAACCAGGTCACCAGTGTCTGCTTTGCTGCAGGTAATGACTGTGGGGCTGAAAGAGACCTGGTCACCAGTGTCTGCTTTGCTGCAGGTAATGACTGTGGGGCTGGAAGAGACCAATTTACCAGTGTCTGCTTTACTGCAGGTAACGACTCGGGAGCTGGAAGAGACCAGGTCACCAGTGTCTGCTTTACTGCAGGTAACGACTCGGGAGCTGGAAGAGACCAGATCACCAGTGTCTGCATCACCATAGGGGATAACGGAAAGGGGGCGGGGTAGTGAAACTGCCGCTTAACAAGAATATCATAGCATGCTACTAGTTAAACGTTTTCTGAAACGTAGAGGAGACGACGACGACGGAAATGAACAAGAATAATGAGAAGAAGAAGAAGATGGTAATTATGATGATGATGATGGTGATAATGACGACGATGATGATGATGATGATGACGATGATACACATCAATTTATCATTTGTCGTTTCCCCCTAGTATGAAAGAGAAGGACCACATGCGAGGCAACGCCACATTCCACAACATGGGGATCGGCAGCTACAACACGGACTCCTTCGTACCCAGACATGATATCTATGTCAAGGACAGACAGACCTGGAAAGTCAGAACTGTGAAGACTATCATGAAGGAACTGGGTCATCAGAACGTGAGTGGAAGCATCATTTCTAAAGCTCACATTATTTGCAAATCATCAGCTTGTGATCAGTATCTTGTCTATTATTAGTCTATGATCAGTATCTTGTCTATTATTAGTCTATGATCAGTATATTGTCAATTATTAGTCTATGATCAGTATCTTGTCTATTATTAGTCTATGATCAGTATCTTGTCTATTATTAGTCTATGATCAGTATCTTGTCTATTATTAGTCTATGATCAGTATCTTGTCTATTGTTAGTCTATGATCAGTATCTTGTCTATTATTAGTCTATAATCAGTATCTGCCAAAGCACAAGCCAGTAATCGTTGTTTTGTATAGTACTAGTCTTTGACGGATACAATGTATACCATCGATGAGTTATTGATTTCTTGTGTGATCGATGTCTTGTATATCACCAGTGTGTGCTCGATACCTTTCTTGTACATCATCAGCGAGTGATCAATGTCTGTTATACATGCAGCGTGTGATCGATGTCTTGTATATCACCAGTGTGTGATCGATATCTTGTATATCACCAGCGTGTGATCGATGTCTTACATATCACCAGCGTGTGATCGATATTTTTATATCACCTGCGTGTGATCGATGTCTTGTATATCACCAGCGTGTGATCGATGTCTTGTATATCACCAGCGTGTGATCGATGTCTTGTATATCACCAGTATGTGATCGATGTCTTGTATATCACCAGCGTGTGGTCGATATCTTGTGTATCACCAGCGTGTGATTGATGTCTTGTATATCACCAGCGTGTGGTCGATGTCTTGTATATCACCAGCGTGTGGTCGATGTCTTGTATATCACCAGCGTGTGATTGATGTCTTGTATATCATCAGAAAGTGATAGGTGTCTTGTATATCATCAGCGTGTAATCAATGTCTTGTATATCACCAGCGTGTGATCGATGTCTTGTATATCATCAGCCAGTGATTGGTGTCTTGTGTATCACCAGCGTGTGATCGATGTCTTGTATATCACCAGCGTGTGATCGATGTCTTGTATATCACCAGCGTGTGATCGATGTCTTGTATATCACCAGTGTGTGATCGATGTCGTGAATATCACCAGTGTGTGATTGATGCCTTGTATATCACCAGTATGTGATCGATGTCTTGTATATCACCAGCGTGTGATCGATATCTTGTATATCACCAGTGTGTGATTGATGTCTTGTATATCATCAGCGTGTGATCGATGTCTTGTATATCACCAGCGTGTGGTCGATATCTTGTGTATCACCAGCGTGTGATCGATGTCCTGTATATCACCAGCGTGTGATTGATGTCTTGTATATCACCTGCATGTGATTGATGTCTTGTATATCACCAGCGTGTGATTGATGTCTTGTGTATCACCTGCGTGTGATCGATGTCTTGTATATCACCAGCGTGTGATCGGTGTCTTGTATATCACCAGCGTGTGATTGATGTCTTGTATATCACCAGCGTGTGATTGATGTCTTGTGTATCACCAGCGTGTGATCGACATCTTGTATATCACCTGCGTGTGATCGATGTCTTGTATATCACCAGCGTGTGATCGATGTCTTGTATATCACCAGCGTGTGATCGATGTCTTGTATATCACCTGCGTGTGGTCGATATCTTGTATATCACCAGCGTGTGATCGATATCTTGTATACCACCAGCGTGTGATCCATGTCGTGTTCCACTAGCGTGTGATCGATGTCTTGTATATCACCAGCGTGTGATCGATATCTTGTATATCAACAGCGAATGATCGATATCTTGTATATCATCACCGTGTGATCGATATCGTGTATATCACCAGTGTGTGATCGATGTCTTGTATATCACCAGCGTGTGATTAATGTCTTGTATATCACCAGCGTGTGATCGATGTCTTGTATATCATCAGCGTGTTATCGATGTCTTGTATATTACCAGCGTGTGATCGATGTCTTGTATATCACCAGCGTGTGATCAAAGTCTTGTATATCACCAGCGTGTGATCGATGTCTTGTATATCATCAGCGTGTGATTGATGTCTTGTGTATCACCAGCGTGTGATCGATATCTTGTATAGCACCAGCGTGTGATCGATGTGTACCACCAGCGTGTGATCGATGTCTTGTATATCACCAGCGTGTGATCGTTATCTTGTATATCACCAGCGAATTATCGATATCTTGTATATCACCAGCGTGTGATCGATGTCTTGCATATCACCAGCGTGTGAGCGATGTCTTGTATATCACCAGCGTGTGATCGATGTCTTGTATATCACCAGCGTGTGATCGATGTCTTGTATATCACTAGCGTGTGATCGATGTCTTGTATATCACCAGCGTGTAATCGATGTCTTGTATATCATCAGCGTGTGATCGATGTCTTGTATATCACCAGCGTGTGATCGATGTCTTGTATATCACCAGCGTGTGATCAATGTCTTGTATACAACCAGCGTGTGATCGATGTCTTGTATATCACCAGCGAGTGATCTATGTCTTGTATACAACCAGCGTGTGATCGATGTCTTGTATATCACCAGCGTGTGATCGATGTCTTGTATATCACCAGCGTGTGATCGATGTCTTGTATATCACCAGCGTGTGATCGATGTCTTGTATATCACCAGCGTGTGATTGATATCTTGTATACCACCAGCGTGTGATTGATGTCTTGTATATCACCAGCGTGTGATTGATATCTTGTATATCACCAGTGTGTGATCGATATCTTGTATATCACCAGCGTGTGATTGATGTCTTGTATATTACCTGCGTGTGATTGATGTCTTGTATATCACAAGTGTGTGATCGATGTCTTGTAAATCACCAGCGTGTGATCGATGTCTTGTATATCACCAGCGTGTGATCGATGTCTTGTATATCATCAGCGTGTGATCGATATCTTGTATATCACCAGCGTGTGATCGATATCTTGTATATCATCAGCGTGTGATCGATGTCTTGTATATCACCAGCGTGTGATTGATGTCTTCAAGATGGACGTGGAGACAACAGAGTGGACAGTGATTGACAACATGCTGGAGACAGATGTCTTCAAGTTCATTCGGCAGTTTGATGTAGAATACCATCTCTTTAATGACTACCCTCTTCTCGAGGAGTATGTTCACATTTATGAGGTTGGTTTGTGTTGTGCTGCTGTGTGATGTTTGTGTTGTGTTGTTGCGTGATATTTGTATTGTGTTGTTGTGTGATTTTTGTATTGTGTTGTTGTGTGATATTTGTATTGTGTTGTTGTGTGATGTTTGTATTGTGTTGGTGTGTGATGTTTGTATTGTGTTGTTGTGTGATTTTTGTATTGTGTTGTCGTGTGATGTTTGTATTGTGTTGTTGTGTGATGTTTGTATTGTGTTGTTGTGTGATGTTTGTGTCGTGCTCATATACGATGTTTATGTTGTGCTGCTGTGTGATGTTGACATCATACAGACAGACAGATAGACGGACAGAGAGACAGACAGACAAGAACACTTGCAATGCCATGTTCTAACGCTGATCTTTGATCCAATCCACCAGGTGTTCACCAGACTGAGAGAAAGTGGCTTCAGGGAATACCATTCGTTCGAACACCAGCGCACAATCAAAAGAGGCAGTTTCAAATACCAGGCCGACGTGGCTTATGTAAATGCCTTTTTTGACAAGGACAGTCTTAGCGGGACATAATCGCCGGTTTCTAGCTGATGTTTTTATGTTATGGTTGTTCTCCATTTTAATTTATTTGCAAATAAGAAGTAGAGACAGGAGATAGAGAGTGTGAGAGAAAAGAGAGAGAAAGAGGTAGACAGACAGACATACAGACAGACAGGCTGGCAGGCATTCAGACATACGGGCTGGCAAACCGGCAGAGGGACAGTCAGACAGACAGACATACCGACGGATGGACGAATGGACGGACAGGGAGAAAAAGTTATATGCATAATAAAATATTCATTTATATGAAGTGTCGAAAACAATAAATGAGAATTTTAGATTGGAGATTTTCACAGTTGAATGTACAAATGAATAATCACACAACGACATTCATTACAGATCACAAATATTCAGTTTGCTCTCGTTGTGTAGTATATCATGATTAAAATACAGCCCAGTTCTTCACATGAAGTTTAATCAGTCTGTTATATCTTAGGCTTTGAAACAATGGTTCAGTTCCTCACATAATAATTTTATTTGTCTGTTGTATCCCACAATTTTTAACAATGGTCCAATTCCTCAAAAATTATTTTTTATTTGTCTGTTATATATCACACTTTAAAACAATAGTTCAGTTCCTCCCATACTAACTTTACACTTGTCTGTTATATCTCACACTTTTAAACAATGGTCCAGTTCCTCACATACTATTTTTATTTGTCTGTTATATCTCACACTTTAAAACATTGGTCCAGTTCCTCACATACTAACTTTACACTTGTCTGTTATATCTCACACTGTTAAACAATGGCCCAGTTCCTAATATACTAACTTTACACTTGTCTGTTATATCTCACACTGTTAAAAAATGGTCCAGTTCCTAATATACTAACTTTACACTTGTCTGTCATATCTCACACTGTTAAACAATGGTCCAGTTCCTAATATACTAACTTTACACTTGTCTGTTATATCTCACACTGTTAAACAATGGTCCAGTTTCTCACATACTAACTTTACACTTGTCTGTTATATCTCACACTGTTAAACAATGGTCCAGTTCCTCACATACTAACTTTACACTTGTCTGTTATATCTCACACTGTTAAACAATAGTCCAGTTCCTCACATACTAACTTTACACTTGTCTGTTATATCTCACACTGTTAAACAATAGTCCAGTTCCTCACATACTAACTTTACACTTGTCTGTTATATCTCACACTGTTAAACAATGGTCCAGTTCCTCACATACTAACTTTACACTTGTCTGTTATATCTCACACTGTTAAACAATGGCCCAGTTCCTAATATACTAACTTTACACTTGTCTGTTATATCTCACACTGTTAAACAATGGTCCAGTTCAATAGTTCCCTATATACTAACTTTACACTTGTCTGTTATATCTCACACTGTTAAACAATGGGTCCAGTTCCTCATATACTAACTTTACACTTGTCTGTTATATCTCACACTGTTAAACAATGGTCCAGTCACATACTACTTTTACACTTGTCTGTTATATCTCACACTGTTAAACAATGGTCCAGTTCCTCACATACTAACTTTACACTTGTCTGTTATATCTCACACTGTTAAACAATAGTCCAGTTCCTCACATACTAACTTTACACTTGTCTGTTATATCTCACACTGTTAAACAATAGTCCAGTTCCTCACATACTAACTTTACACTTGTCTGTTATATCTCACACTGTTAAAACAATGGTCCAGTTCCTCACACACTAACTTTACACTTGTCTGTTATATCTCACACTGTTAAACAATAGTCCAGTTCCTCACATACTAACTTTACACTTGTCTGTTATATCTCACACTGTTAAACAATAGTCCAGTTCCTCACATACTAACTTTACACTTGTCTGTTATATCTCACACTTTTAAACAATAGTTCAGTTCCTCACATACTAACTTTACACTTGTCTGTTATATCTCACACTTTTAAACAATAGCCCAGTTCCTCAATACACTAACTTTACACTTGTCTGTCATATCTCACACTTTTAAACAATAGTTCAGTTCCTCACATACTAACTTTACACTTGTCTGTTATATCTCACACTTTTAAACAATAGTTCAGTTCCTCACATACTAACTTTACACTTGTCTGTTATATCTCACACTTTTAAACAATAGTTCAGTTCCTCACATACTAACTTTACACTGGTCTGTTATATCTCACACTTTTAAACAATAGTTCAGTTCCTCACATACTAACTTTACACTTGTCTGTTATATCTCACACTTTTAAACAATAGTTCAGTTCCTCACATACTAACTTTACACTTGTCTGTTATATCTCACACTGTTAAACAATAGTCCAGTTCCTCACATACTAACTTTACACTTGTCTGTTATATCTCACACTGTTAAACAATAGTCCAGTTCCTCACATACTAACTTTACACTTGTCTGTTATATCTCACACTGTTAAACAATGGTCCAGTTCCTCACATACTAACTTTACACTTGTCTGTTATATCTCACACTGTTAAACAATGGCCCAGTTCCTAATATACTAACTTTACACTTGTCTGTTATATCTCACACTGTTAAACAATGGTCCAGTTCCTAATATACTAACTTTACACTTGTCTGTTATATCTCACACTGTTAAACAATGGTCCAGTTCCTAATATACTAACTTTACACTTGTCTGTTATATCTCACACTGTTAAACAATGGTCCAGTTTCTCACATACTAACTTTACACTTGTCTGTTATATCTCACACTGTTAAACAATGGTCCAGTTCCTCACATACTAACTTTACACTTGTCTGTTATATCTCACACTGTTAAACAATAGTCCAGTTCCTCACATACTAACTTTACACTTGTCTGTTATATCTCACACTGTTAAACAATAGTCCAGTTCCTCACATACTAACTTTACACTTGTCTGTTATATCTCACACTGTTAAACAATGGTCCAGTTCCTCACACACTAACTTTACACTTGTCTGTTATATCTCACACTGTTAAACAATAGTCCAGTTCCTCACATACTAACTTTACACTTGTCTGTTATATCTCACACTGTTAAACAATAGTCCAGTTCCTCACATACTAACTTTACACTTGTCTGTTATATCTCACACTTTTAAACAATAGTTCAGTTCCTCACATACTAACTTTACACTTGTCTGTTATATCTCACACTTTTAAACAATAGCCCAGTTCCTAATACACTAACTTTACACTTGTCTGTCATATCTCACACTTTTAAACAATAGTTCAGTTCCTCACATACTAACTTTACACTTGTCTGTTATATCTCACACTTTTAAACAATAGTTCAGTTCCTCACATACTAACTTTACACTTGTCTGTTATATCTCACACTTTTAAACAATAGTTCAGTTCCTCACATACTAACTTTACACTGGTCTGTTATATCTCACACTTTTAAACAATAGTTCAGTTCCTCACATACTAACTTTACACTTGTCTGTTATATCTCACACTTTTAAACAATAGTTCAGTTCCTCACATACTAACTTTACACTTGTCTGTTATATCTCACACTTTTAAACAATAGTTCAGTTCCTCACATACTAACTTTACACTTGTCTGTTATATCTCACACTGTTAAACAATAGTCCAGTTCCTCACATACTAACTTTACACTTGTCTGTTATATCTCACACTTTTAAACAATAGTTCAGTTCCTCACATACTAACTTTACACTTGTCTGTTATATCTCACACTTTTAAACAATAGTTCAGTTCCTCACATACTAACTTTACACTTGTCTGTTATATCTCACACTGTTAAACAATAGTCCAGTTCCTCACATACTAACTTTACACTTGTCTGTTATATCTCACATATCAAGACAGAAGCCGAATTTCTCCATCATCATCATCATCATTATCTAGTGACTTTGTTCGTGATTTGCACTATGTTACACAGTTTTTACGAGAATTAGACCTAATGTGGAAAAAACAAAAACTTTAAGCTTGCTTGTCAAGAAGCTTCTAATGTTACATTCAGTCGCACGAATAGATTTTGTTTGTCCGCTCGAATTATTACTAATGCTTGTATTCAATTATAAAATAAATAATGCACAAATATATAAAAATAAATTGTTTTTTTTTTTACAATAATGCCTTCAGTAAATTTTTTTTTTAAATATTTGTACTGAGTCAGGCATGTCCACATTCATCAAAGGGCATCAGCTGAGAGGTCTCTGAATGATATACATTTGGAAACAATATCATAGACAGAGAGAGAAATTGGACTGGCAGCTGTGGGAGACACAGAGGAAACCACTAAATTTCCCGTCCAGTTTGGATCACTAGCATGGCTGAGTGCTTAGCTTAGAAGGTCCTGAGTTTAGCGCTCAATGCAGACCTGAGAGCAGTGTTTTTCATATTGAGTGCCTTTAATGTGAGCAGTTCACAAACAACTAAAACCTGGAGCCTCTCCTAATTTCTCAGTCGTGGTGTTTGATATGGCCCGTAGCTGGTTTATGTGTAGGCTGGCGATTTACCTTATGGCATGATTTGACGTGTGTATAGCTAACTGTTTGTGACTGACTACTTCCATCAACAACAAACTGCATTTCTGGTGGTGATTGTTAGCTTTGGCACCTCTAGCAACTGCCTTTAGCAGTTACTGCTTGCACATTTTTCTAGACTGTGCTGGGGCAACTGGGTTCGAAGACCTCCATTAACGTCGCTCATGGGATTTGATCTGTTTCATTCCATGAATACTAACACTGATGATGATAGTTATAATGATATTGATATCAATATATATTTTATATGCCATAATGTTAACTGTGCTCGGAGGGACTTGAAATGCATTATCCAATGTTCCGGTTTTTTGGGTGACAAGGCCTGTTTGGCAATGACGTCGATTCTTTTAAACATCAAAATAGAAGAAACTCTCAAACAACACACAAGATGAGGGTTCATTTCTGCTTTTAGAGATGTCTTGGCTAAATGGAGCCTGTCTCAAATGTCTAAAGATGAGCAGTTCACAAACAACTAAAACCTGGAGCCT